GTGTGCGTTATCTGGATCACAGAAGCTTCTGTGAGTTTTGAATCGTGATCGCTATGTTGCTCCTGCATTCGTTGGTTCTTTTTGTTGATATTGCTTTCTTCCCGTTGCTGTGTTTGGTGCCATGCTAGGTGCGTCGTCAGATGTTGGTGGCTGAAGGTGCTGGCGATGGATGCGGAAGAACAGGAGACAGCTGTGTATGATAATTGGCGACAAGTGCCTCTGGACCGCGATGAGAGGTTTGGCGTTGCTTACTTGTTGTGTGTGACTCTCCGAGTGAATGAGGAGGCATATTTAATGTGCACGGCATAGATGATTGGTGAAATGATCCGTGGGGTTTGGGCAATCCCCGCTATAGGTGCATCACCACGGCGAAACTCTTGTAAAAAGATACTGTGCAGCTCCTGGGTTGTCGCAATAGCCCCTTTTGGGTTGGCAAGAAATGTCTCCAAGAGAGTGGCGGGATGATATGCGACGATGGTGTCGTGTGCCCCGTATTTGCGTGTGAAATGCGGAGATGGAAAGCGAACACCCACATGAAGGAATTATGGTGAATGTATGAAGAGTAACTTGGTGTATTGGTGACGAGGGGGATTTGAATTGTGGATATGTATGGGGGATTGGTGTTGGTTAGGGTTAGTATGAGCAGACTGCCGTGTTGGTGCTCTGCTCCCTTATGAAGAACCCTTCCATGAGTAGTGCGGATGAGTGACAACAATCTCACAGTGTGGGCACTGCCGGAAAGGTGTTTTTGGGAGAACGAGAAACTTAAAACCAAGTTGCATGTGCGAACTGCCCGTCAGGATACTCCCTCTGCTGTGCGGACTACTCTACAATTTGCAGAGTGAAGCTGAACTGACAGCGGTGTTGGAAATGAAGGTGTGCGTGGCACGCAATCTGTGTTTGCTTGGATTCCGTATGTGGGCCGTTCCTAATGCGGTAGTAAGTTGTAGGTTGAAGAGGTTGATGTATATCAACCCCCCAAAACAACACTGGATGGCTATTGCTGTCTGCGTGTCCGACATGACGACTGTTGGGCATCATTGGCTGATGGTGCGCCACTGACGTGATGCGAACAGCACCGACGAGGGCTTGAAAGGGTTGTTGGGGTTGCTGGGTGACTCTTTGTTGTGTCGATGCTCTTTGAGATGGTGAGAAATGACGCAGTAAAAAAGGGATTGTGAGCAGGTGCGTGAGGCATTTGTTTGGCGGGGGAAATGCTTTGTTGTGAGTTGCCCTCGGTGTTTCCTAATGTGCGGAGTCGCAGGGATCCAATGCTCAATTTATGGTTGCTTGGGGGGTTCTGCTTTTTGCAAACGGAAGAACATAACTTTCAGAATCATCTTGATGTTGGTGGAAACACATGACGCTGTGTGAAGTGTGATGCCTTTGGATGATCATCGAGATATGTGAGTGTGTGTGCTTTCAGCTTTTGAATTCGTCCGGAGGGAAACAAGTCTAGTTGAGTGGGAAAGTGTGTTGAATTATATTGCTCCTTTGACGTGTCCTTCACCTGCACATGGCCTCTGTGAAGGAAACGATCAAAGAGTCCTTCTTGCAGAGATGGACACTGAATCAAGTTGTTGGTGGGTGCTCTTTTTTGGTTTGTTCCTGCATACGCTTGTGGTGCTCACCATGTGTTTGAGGAGCAAAGTGAAGGTGGGATTTCCTCTCGTGTTTGTGGGTCATTTATGGAGACTGGCGGTCACAATACTTGGGTGTGGTTTCAAGGGGAGTGAGGAAGGAGGTGTGTGCGTGTGTATTCCCTGTTGAGGGATTGACTTCTTCCCAAGCAACACAATTCGAATCACCCTGCAGGCGACAGTGTGGTGGCATGGTCCCCGCAGACGGTGCCGCAGCATGCGCTTCTGACGAGTGAGTCAAACGACGCTGACACGGGTTCAGGGCGTACTGGCCACCTGATGTGTCTCTTGGAGAGGTGCCACAGACATTGAGGGGATTGTTGGTGTCAAGTGTATTGGGGCAGCTTTGTAGTGGCTCTTCTGAGGTGCAGGGGGGAAAGTGAAACCCCAAAGAAGTGTTTGGAAAACGTTACTGATAAAACACAGTGATCTCATCAGGAATCAGATATGTATGCTGATAGAAGAAGCATGGGGAAGTGCCTACTGTACAAGTTCTTCTGTTACTGATTGTCTGTGCTCTGCGTGCTATTCGCTGTGTTTTGCTTCTTTTTATTTCTGAATCAAGACAAGCAGCTGCTAGTAGAAGTTTTATCTA